TGTTATGGTTTTTTTAAAGAATTTAAGCATTAATTAAATTCGTAATTAATTAAATTTGTGGTATTAATTAACAAATTTTAAGTTAAATTATTTTATAAAAGTTACCACTAATATAATAATAAGCCCTAGGTGTAGTTTGCAACAGCTGTTCTGGCAAGTTAGTTTGGGTCCAAGAAAGGTAGGTGTTCATGTAGGTCGTTGGGTGTACTGCATATTTTAATTCCTAAAGTTAACTATGTTTATGATTGTGGCTTTAAGATAATAAATAAAATAAAACAAAAAACGCTAATCGGTTCGACCACGAACTATTATTATAAGCTATAATAATATATCTTAGTCCTTGGTATCGACTTATATTATTTTCATAACCTAGGTATCTATATGAAATTCGAAAAATGTATCATCTATTCTATAGCCGTACAAGTAAGTAGTTTATGTACCGAAAGAATCTATTGACTTAGACCTGGATTAGCACTATGTAGGAGCTAAAAAGGCTATAGGCTAAAATACAGTCCAGAGTACCTATATTAAAAATGATTACGTTAAAATAAGGGCACTTTTTATAGTGTTTTCAGTTAAAATTTTATTTCTAAAAAAATATTCACAATATAAAGTTATACCGACTGATATGAATAAGTTGTATCCGTTAATGGAATAATATTAATTCTGAGTCAAATTATTATTGATACACAATACAATACACGGGGGGGGGGGTGTGTAAAAAAAAAATAGGCTCCGAGGCACCGAAACTCTTAATAATTCAACATTGGATTGGATTAAGTCTATATTATTATAGGTATCAAATTAAATAGAAGGTTCAATTTTCCATTACTACTATATATTGTATTGTGAGTAGGTACTATGTAGTCAAAGTTCTCCAAACGAATGAATAATTTATCGTAAAATTTACAATCGATAACTGCATGATGGTTTAAAAACAAAGAAAGAGGAAAATTTACATTCATATTACCTGAGTCCAGTGTCGGCCTGGCCATGGCCGCTGGGCCGCAAACGCGTCCGGGGCCCTCGGCCGTATTTGTGTTGGGGGGCCCCCACCCCCGATCGTACTCAGAAATATAAATATTGGATAATGAATATTATTATTAATAATATTATTATGTATTTATGTGATAACTTTTGTTATCTGTGTGAGTGATTATTGTTATCATAAATAGTAGATAGTTTTCGACCTCCAGACGGAATAACCAATGTACCATTAATGCTAATGTCCATTGAAAAGGATATTTTGATTGACTCAGATGAGTTGATTGATACGATTGCTAACTCATCTAGTGAACTAAAAAAATTACTGATACAAAGAAAATCAAATGCACAATTAATTTTGAATTTGAATCACATTAAAAAAAATATTAAGTTCATGTGAGAAGGTATTATTTATATTATGCAATATGTAAAAAATTTTTTAGAATAATAAATTATTAATCTAACTTAAATCTTAACTTAATCTTAATGGATGCTTAATTTTATAGGTATATGGTACCTTTAAAAATTTATAATATTTTACACTACTTATAAGTACATTTTTAATAATTTTATGAAAAAACATTTTTTGGGGGCCCTTCTGAAGAAATGCATCCGGGGCCCTTAAGGTACCAGGCCGACACTGCCTGAGTCGATTGTAAATTTACGGGATTGCCACTATTTTATTTGTATACATAGTACAATTAGTACATACTAGATGAAAAATAGGTGAAAAATATATATACACATAAAATAAAAACAATGAAAATAAGATTTCTTTGTTTCAGTCAAGTGAAAATATCAAATCAATAATGTTTTGAGGAATAACATTTGTTTCACATACAAATATCATAATTAAAAATAAATATAAATTATTATTGTATATGTAATTATATAAATATTATATTTGTTTTCTATTGAAAAAGTTGTAAAATAGAGAGAATTTAAATTGTACATCTTAAAAATCAAAATTGGATTAAATTTTGCACCACATAAATAATTTTAAATAATGATAGTTACGTATATCATACTGTTAATCCTGTATTGATTTTAATTCTTGGACCAGTATATAGTTGTATTAGCTTATTTTGTACACATTTCTATTTATCTTTACAAATATTCAAATACAGAGGTAGTCCAGATATACCTATACCTATAATACATAATGTTCCTATTTGCTTTTAAATATTTAGAAATAATTATAGTATAAATGAGTTTAAGAATAGACTCAATTTATGAGGCAGGTAGGCCGTAAAAATATATCTAAATACCAACGAAATTTGAATAAATTATTGTTCATCAATATTTATGATATATATTCAATAATAGTATTAAGTGTAACCATAGATAAAGGGCCTTCAAAAAAACTATCCAAACGCCAAACCAATCAAAATATTTTTAAAAATGAACACTATTTATGTAGAATGTAAATACTAAATACCCAAAAAAGTAAAAAAAAGAAAAGAAATCAATCCCCACCTCCTTCACACATTAATAGAATTACAATTCACTAGTTTACGCGTAGAACTACTCCCTTATATAACAGAGCATGCTTTAAATTTCCCAAAATAAATTTCTTTCAAATTTTTACTAATGTAATCTAATAAATATGTTTTGTATCTTATTTAGAATACCCCTAATGTTTAAACGTTTAAAATAAAAAATACAAAAGGTTTTACGTTTGATTGCATCTCCAGTTAATTTTCCAGTCACGCTATTATCCAATAAGGTTCAACCTATTATACATGGCTATTGGTCATACAATACATACCTGTACATATATTGATATTAAATTATATATATAAAGGTAGTTATATTTTACGTAACCCTATCGTGCTGTAAAATACTGAAATGTAATATATCATAATATAATACGTCCTGTTTAAATATTTTGTATCGATGTCCCAATTTGTAATTGTAAAAAAATCAATTTTTGTGATTATATCATGAAAATTGAAAAAAATCTCCCATTATTTTAAGTGAAATAAATTCAAGCAACATTAGCTTTAATACTTTAATAATTCATAATTTCGTTGTTTTCCGCACCTACACAGGTCGCCTATAGAATAGCAATGAATAGTATTGTATTGATTCAGATGTTGTGGCATTTTTATGTTTTTCGAATACTCAAACGATTGCCGTGCCGATGAATTATCAAATATGATATACAGAGTGATTCTCCCTATTTTCCTTTACTAATTTATTCATTTAAATTAGGTTTTTTTTAATTGTTATATTGGTATAAGGTAGGTATAATAAATTACCATATTTTCAAATATTTAAATTTTTATTCTACTTAAGGACTACCCCCCTGCGGCGATACCAACTTCTTATTTTCAAATGAAAATCGCTCTTTTCACTATAAATTATTAGGCCAATAACTTTTAGGAACATTTTAGGTTCTGGTGTAAATATCTAAATGGAAATTCAGACTAGTACTTATAGTAGGTTTTGAGTTCTTGAACTTATAAATATAGGTCCACAATAATAGGTTTGGATGATTTAAGACGAGGATTTTCATTAATACGTCTCCTTAATAATTTGTTGTACTAATTAGTTATACATAATACACATTATATACAAAATAATGGAACAGCTTATTATAGGTATTCTAAGTCTAGAGGTTTTAATAACTTAGAAAATTAGAAATTATTGGTTCAGTTTTTGAGTAGCCATCAGGTAAGATCTATCAAAATTTAAAAAAGTAAAAACAAATCTTCTGCTCAAGAATGTACATTTTAAAATTTTGGTTCTCATTTGAATAAAAGTATTTCATATCGCCATCCGATATTAATTTTCTTTCCGGGTATGAGAAATTCGAGTATTTGAAAATAACGTCCTTAAATAGATATATTTAAAAATTCCAAAAAACAGAGATTGTATAAGTTCACCATCAAAAGAAATAATGGGAGTGAGCAGTTAGATAAATCATCCTGTATATAAATATATTACTATGCTAAACGATTTGTTAATTTATTCGTGATTTAGAGAAGGTACCTATATAGTATATATACTACATAAAATATTTATTTGAATATTTCTAGGTATATAGAGTTATTCTCTTGCGAATGCCGACTTCTTATAACTCGTCTCTGATCTAGCCATCTAGGGTAGCGATGTAGCTCATCAGTTTCTACCTACTCACAATCTCGTCTTAACGTCCTATAGGCTGTAATTGATCGTATTATATTAATTTAGTATAGGTTAAGTATTAAAATGATAAATATTTGGTTTATCTTAGAAAACTTATAAATCCCGAGCATTCGCTGCCAAGTATCAGCCATCATTCACCAGTTATAACCGCTAACCTGCAGTGCTGGGAAAAAATAACTATGATTACCTAACCAATGATTATATCTATGATTTAAAATACTTTTCAATAATTAGTTTAATTGGTCAACATTATAAATGCATAGATATAGGATTCAGAATGGGATAATGTTATATAATCCTGTGAATTTTATACTTGTATAATTACTATCTTAAACTATTTTAAATTGTAAGAATATCTATTGTAATGCGATATCATTATAATGTAACCATTGGGCTATACCAGCCCATACCTACTTTTTAATAAATGATAACAATGCTATAATTACAAAATTAAAACTAAACAAATTTAATCATGGAGAATAATTGGGTTTTTAATTATATGAGTAGGTATTTATAAGTATAGGTATAATTAATAATAGACAGGTACTATCCAGCTTGGTATATTCTTCATCATAGTATTCATTTTATCATCAATGATAATAGGTAGGTAGGTACATCCAGCCTCAAAGTAGGTTTATTTATCGAAATTAATACATTTTCAACCATAAAGGTAGGTACCTAGGTTGTTATATGTATCATATTATGAAGTTTATCAGAGGCGAAAAAAGCCCATAACCTGCAGGAATATCCTTGTTTGGGGGAATGATCCTTAGCGAACAAGTCGTCTAAACATAATAATATTGTATTGTATAACTTGAGTAGATACCTATATTGAAATTGACGGTTTTTTCATAATTTATCCTCAGGAGTCGATCGACCACATCCACGTGATATCACTGGACCCGCCGATGCGGCTGGACGAGAAGCCGCCGGACTACGCATCAGTGGTGGACGTGCCTCCGCCCAGCTATGACGACGCGATCAAGTTGGACCCTCAGCGGCTGATGGACAGTGGCCACCGGGTGGCGAGGGACACCTGCGCCATAACCGTGGTGCCGCCGGACGAGTGCGACAAGACGTCGTCGGCCAACGAGGTGGCCGACACGACAGCAGCGTCGCAGCCGACGATCAAGCTGGCGCAGGCCATCCGGAAGAGCATACGCGACATACGCAAGCAACTGACGAACACGGTGAGCGACGGGGCGGCGGACGTGGAGCAACAGCAACAGAGCGGTTCCGCTGTCCACAACATCAGCGACGCCGCCTCGGCCGCTCTCCGCAAGTCCGACGCTCAGGCCGCAGCCACCAACGCGGCCACGACCGACTAGAGTGCAACACTGTCATTATCGATGTATTGATATTATATTTTGATTGATTGCGATACATCGTTAATGACGTTACGTTGCTACTGCTTTATTGTTACGGTCCATGCGCGAACGCGTTTTTCTTTCACAAGACTGAAATCACAAAACTTTATATATTATTATAATAATTATTAGGTACGATTTAATATTATAACCTATTATAATATATTATCATTAGATATAAGGTTTATATTTTGTCAATTGGTTTGCACGCGCTTTGTGCATTTCGATATAGGTACTGCAGTGATGCCGTTACCCGAAAGCGTTGTGATTTTCCCAATATTTATTGTTAAAATATTATTATTGTCATTGTTATTAGAGTAAACATACCCTATCATTGTCGCCTAAGTTATAATATTGGTAATTCGAGAAGTAACGGCCACGAAATCGTCGACTCCTGTATCCTGTATAATTATATTGAAATATTGTTCCCATCAACAAGTCGAAATACCTTTGTTAATACTCAATAATATATTATAACATTCATAAAAATAAAAATGTTTAACGTCACATACGATGTGTTGAAATGGTGCACGAAACACACTTGTTTAATTTTACCTTCTTTCCATTGTACATAATATTTTGTAATGAAAATATAATGTTATGCTTTGTATACTTATTCGTTTAGTTAGAGCTTCAGAGGTCAAACCGTGTCACGTCTGAGTTTAAAATAATATAATATTGCACAAACATGATTTTATTTGAAATTATTTGCATACCACGTTCTTGACGATTTTAAAATTATAACAATATTACATTACCTATAGGTACACAAAGTTCAGATTTAAAAAAAAAAAAATACATTATTTTTCATTGTTAATAATATGATCATGTAATGTACCTATAGCCATTTAGGTATATAATATGATGTACGATATATTTATAACAAGTAGTTTTTTCAACCACTTTTGATTACCTTGGTATTTAGGTCACTGAATACTATGTTTAACTTTAAATGATTTTTCACATACAGCTTTTCATATTAAATTGTATGTAACTGCAACTCCAATAAAATGTTTTAATAGATTTATACAATTTATGTACATTAAAATATTAAATATAAAATAACAATAAATTGCATTGAGGTAACCTAACCTAACATAGTAACAATGAATGAGTAATGTCAAAAATAATTGTTTAAACATTTAAAATAATAATTTCTTTGATTATAAACAAAAGTAATAAAACAATGTTTATTGGAAAAGATACTGGTTTTGCAAATTGTATACTCGTCAGATATTGTTAAAGGCAATTAGTAAATATTAATAATATTATACTTCCAATAAAAAAATTAATCAATTTTATTCAAAAAAAAAAAAAAAACAAAGAATATACAATAAAATGTTTAAATTATATTAGGTGACTGATCAATAGTTTTAAATCATACAAATAATTATTTTATGTAAAATAATGTGACAGCTTTAAAGTAGAGTGTAGTGAAAGGAAGTGAATAAATATTATGCTCAACAGACATGTTGTGTAAATGGTTATCAATTGACTATATATTTTTAATTTAAATTAAGTTTTAAACCTAGTTTTGTTTAAAAAAAAGCTTTTAATATGAAAGTACAATCAGTTGTACAGATTATGAATGTATTATTATTTATAAACATATATGCACTTAAAATATAAACATTCTCACCTAACCTTGGCTATATCCTATATATGGTAAGTATAGTTTGATCTTGACATTTAAAATAATATTACACTACAATCGCAATTATCTATACGCCCAACAACATAATATAATGGTTATCACTGTTGCTTGTGACTAAACTTATAATAGACTTACTACATTTCAATGAACATTTGAATGTAGGAGAATTTTATTTTTTCAAGTCTATGCCTTATCTTACTAGCCTTAATATTTAGTTAATACATATAAGAAGTTATTGTTAGAGATAAAATTAATAAATATAATACTTAACATTACCATGCAATTGCCGTAATAAAAAATAAAACAATGTTTTTAATCTCGACTCAACAAAACAAATGTTTTGATCAAGACAATTCAAATATTGTAGTTTTATAACGGTAGACATATTACAATCATTATATTATATAATTTGTGTTACAAATAATTTAATTCGATCCCAGTGAAAAGAATCATAACCATGCCAGTGCAATTCTGACTATTTTAAGTAACCATAAATTGTTTCACAAGGATAATGAAAAAGATGTTGAGCTAGGAGTTGCTACTGAAGATTGACTGCTGTCTTCTCTGTCATCGCTCGAGTTAATGTGCTAAATAAAGAAATTAATTTCATTAGTAAATTGATTATTTAAAAAGTATTATTTGTTCAAAAAGATAAAAAAAAAATGGTAAAAACAGGTGTATTATACTATAAAATATTTATATCTTACTTCATGGAGTGTCATTAAAGCATCCAATGTATCTGGGAATACTGGCCTCACAGAATTAATCTCCATTGGCGTCAAATGGTTTAAAGAAGCTTGAACACGACCTTCTTTAACGAATAAATCAACAGAAGATCTTAATTTTGCTATTCTTAAATCCCATAGATCCTTTAAAAAATAAATCAAAGTAATTAATACTTTGTAATACATTTAATTGTATTTTACCTAACCCAACTCAAATATTACAATAATTATTATTATTATTATTTTTTTTTTTATCAAGAAATAAACAATCTGTGCCCTTGGGCACATTAAGAATATGTGATAAGTGAGCTATTATTTTAAATATTCTAAAGAAAGTATTTTATAGAGAGCAAAATATCTTATTAGTTGTGTAAGTACAGTAGAAATCACTCTAACAAGCATCACTTAGAACGAGATACTGCTTACAACTATCAAAAAGTTTGGTCCTCGCATGAGCCCATACATGTATGTCAAAATAGACATTTACAAGTATGGTTATTACGAGTTATTGGCTATAAAGAGTAAAATATACTTAAATTATCAAAATACATATTCAGTTATAACAAACTGATCGATAGCGGATCATCAATAATTAATGACATTAACAAGGACTATATCCAGATAGAATATAGATGATGACTTCACAACGTACGAAATTGTACCGGATGAAGATATAATTAAAGATGATGATGAGCTTGATGGTGATTTTGGAACTTTACTATCAATATCTGAAGCTTGTGCTGCTTTCAAAACTCTCAAAAAATTTTATTACACAAAATATGAAGGAACTGATAATGAAAGAAAAGCGTTGATTTTATTAGAAAATGCAGTTAACACTAAATATTCTACCAAGCAAAGTTCAATTAAAAATTATTTGAAGAAATTAAATTCAAGTGAATAAAAATGTAATATTAAATCTAATAATTAATACATAATAATAAATAATAAATACATAGTCTAGTAAAATAAAATTGTCTGTTTTTTTATTGTATGGGTTTCTGCTTCTAACCGGTAATAACGAACGCTCATTCTAACCATATTTGTATGTAACCAGCAACCGGTAACATGGAGAAAAACTTGCTGACCACATGGCCCTTGACACCCGTTATAACCAATTTCTACTGTGTGTATTTAAAAGAATTTGTTTTTCATTTTATTTGGTTCATCAGTTTTTCAAAAAAATGTATTGTGAAAGAATGATATAAAGCTAAACACTATCATACAAAGTTAGTTAATTCATTGTGTAAAAAAATATTTAACAAATATTAATTTTTTTTTTTAAATATAATAAGAAGGTAATTATTTGAGCAACACTGTTTGGCCATCATGAAAAAACCTAAGTAAATCAACATTTTGAAAATTATGAAATTTGCACAAATCTGAAATCAATAATTAATTTAGCTAGTTAGAGTTTGCTCAAATACTCGCTAGGTTGGCAGGTGCAGGATATTAGTTATTTTGTTGTAGCTTAAAAATATTAGGTATTCATAAATCACAGGTACTTGAAACTTGTAAAGTATATCATTATATTTTATACTCATAATAACATATTAAAATGAAATTGTGTTGGCGACAATTAATTTAACCTACTGTAATACTAATTCCTAATAGTAAAATAAATTACTTTTTATCACAATAATATCTTCTATAATTATAAATCTGGGTAAATCAACTCACTTTAACTGCCGTTTTTATATCGTTCCCTTGAGGAATATCTTCACTGGCAACGGTCAATAACATTTGGGTGATTTCCAGGTAAAAATTGGTTGGTAATTGTGTGAAAAATCTGAAAAAATCAAAGGTTAATAGAAAGATACAATATGGTTAATGCAAACAACGTTCACTGTACTTGGACGCTTTCTCTTCTTCGAGTCTTTCTTGCAACTTATCGACGGCCATCCAATCAGGGGCTAGGATACGACACGTCTTTTTTTGTCGCAGATTCAGTGCCACCCAAATTGGAACGTTCAACGGCAGACCAGCTCGGAACGGACCATAAGAACCGCATATAAGGTGTACGTGGCTGGCGTGATTGAACGTTGGCACAATCTGAATGATTTCGTTTTCAGCCATAAATTCGATTTCGGCAGGGTGCATCATGTTGGAAAATGTCCTCGACGACGATTCTGTTAACAATATTGAAACTTACGAGTGACAGACACTCAGTGCCTACCTACGATTTTTCAGTTGGAATATTATAACTTATAAGTGCAAAAACTTTTCATTCCTTTCATGGTTGAAACCGTAAAACAAAAAAATATAAAAACATTATTTTGTGATAATGAATTTTTGATCAATTGGCGGGATTTTAAATGGACATAACCTCGGAGTCACAGCAGCTGTTTGTCATCCGTTTTTAGAATCTGTCTGCAGAGCAACAAAAACGAGTTATTTTCGATACACTTGTGATGGACGAAATTAATTATTGATAGTATATGTCCTATTGTCTTAATTAATTTAATAAAAAAATTCAGAATTGTTATTAATCGTTTTTAAAACTAAAAATATGCATTATCTATTATCCAAAAATTGCTTATCACACTTGTAACGCTTATCACTTTTTGGGAGATCTGACCCCATCGGCGATCGGCCGTCTTTATCAGAGTAGAATGAGTACACTGACTTGACACTTGGCCTAACTTACTAATAAGTATATTACTACCTACCTAATAAGTAATAACTAAAAAATTATAAAACCCCAAGGAAATGCTTTAAGTGCTTTAACAAGATAACTGTGTGCTGTTTAATAAAATATTTGCGTTGTCGTCATTGTCGCATCGGATGAAGTGAGTATATTATAATACCATGTATTGATCACATTATGTTTTATTCATATTTAAATATTTAATGTATCACATTAAGCTACAATTATGATCATTGTAAACTTTAATGATTATAATTTATATTACCATATTAAATAAAATGTTAGCAATTTTATTCTTATTGCTCACCTCTTTGTATACCTCTTTTACAGCTTACAAAATGATTTTACATCATACAAATTAAAAATAACTTATAATCAAGGAACAAGGTTAGGTTAAAATTTAATACCAAACCTTAATTTCCAATCTATTGATTGGTTTAAGTAAAACTTTTTGAACACTTATTACAACGGGCATAATGACATTCCAGACAAAATGATTCCTATTCACGTACTTGGTTGGTTTTGTCACATGGATTTAACAATTTGATTCTCAACTCTCAAGGTCCCAGCCGTTAAAGTAAATTTTATACTGTAAGGGTTTCACTTATCAACATTAAAATCATGAGAATAAATTACTTGTATTTCATTTTTGTTTATTCAATTCAGTTATACAGTATCATATTAGTACCTAATTTGTGTTAAACTCTTTTATTTTTACAGTGATAAGAAGAAAGAACTATATAACCGAGTGAAAAATGCATCATTTATTGAAATATATATTTGCTTCGAGCCGATGTTGCTGTAAAATGTATTTACCTCAGTGCAGAATGTGTTTTCCAACTGTACTTCCAAATAATAAATCATTTTTATCAGTACGTTTGTATAAAAATCACAGGATTATGGCAAATGTTTATTTTGCGGATGATCGATTTTCTAAGCGCCACAATAAGTTGAAAAATGCCATTCGAGATAAACAGATTATTTTACAAAAAACTAAGCAAAAATTTCAAACTAAAGGTAAATTCATACTAGATGACATCAAAGAAACTAAATCAAAGGTACGGGATACTATAAAAGAGAATGTTTGGACAGTACCTAACATGCTATGTATGACTAGAATAGTCCTAAGTCCTTACTTGGGTTATCTTATTGTCAATGGAAACTTTGAGTATGCCCTCAGTTTTGTGGCCATAGCAAGTGTAACGGACTTAATTGATGGGTGGATTGCTAGGAATTTCCAAGGTCAGAAATCAAAATTAGGTAGTTTCTTGGATCCAATGGCTGACAAAGTACTTGTGGGTACTATGTTTTTCACATTGACTTATATAGATTTAATTCCAATATATCTTACCGGCATAATTATATTAAGGGATCTGGTTTTAATTGGTGCTGCCTTCCAAATTCATTATATTTCAATACCTAAACCCAGGACTTTAAGTAAATTATTTGATGTCACCAATACCAATGTTCAATTAGCACCCATGTTCATAAGCAAGGTGAATACTACAGTTCAATTAGCAATGGTTTGCGCTACTTTAGCAGCTCCAGTGTTTGAGTTTGTTGATCACCCCGCACTCAAAGCGTTGTGGTGGCTTACAACTGCTACTACAGTGTCATCAGCAATAAGTTATATTGTGCATAGAAAAAAGACTTATAAAATATTTAATAACCTAAAGAGATAATTTTTTTTCACCCATCTTACATACCCAAATAATAGTATCTTTGACAAGACATTTTTTTGATTTTAATAAATTTAAGACAAATTATTATAAATGTATGTATGTATTATGTGTATTGACTATAATTTAAAAAATATTATATGTATTATGAATTCCAAAAAAATAATATTTTTGTTCAAATTAGTTAATTTTAGCATATTAAGTCCAATACTATCCTTACAAGAAACATTAGTTATAAGTTAAATTCTTCTACTGTTGAATCACTCATCTAAGTTTCAGTTAAAAATATTATTTATCTAATAAATCAAACTTGCTAAGTTTAAATAACTATTTTTGATGTACATTTTATATATTTTTCCCTCTTTACAATATACATTATAATATATACCTGTATTTTATATACTTTGTCATTTTGATATTAATATATTATATTGTTAGTAGTATATTTTAAGACTGATTTAGTATTACTTTAATGATCATTATTCTTACACAGTTTTAATACCATTAGAACAACATTATCTTTATCTAAGAAGAAATATTAGGCTATTTAGTTTGTAAATCGTATACACGTAACGTTAAAATAATACTTAAAGTGTCATGTAATTTTAAAATACGGTCTACATAATAACTAATATGTGACATAATATAAATATCTTTACCATAGTATTCAATGTGTATAAAAAAATAACAATATTTTTAACTTAGATTGAAAATATAATATTTAATAAGTCAATAATTTGAATTTCCACTTCGAACCTAATTGTGTTTAATAATTTTGTCCTTGAGGCATTTGAAGATCGCTCACAGGTAGACGTGATTTACACTGATTTTGTGAAAGCATTTGACCGTGTAGACCACGCTATCCTCATTGACATCCTCTATAAGTCCGGTTTTGGCGAACCTATTTTGTCCTGGTTTAAATCATACCTGTCCGATCGTGTCCAGTGGGTTAAAGTGCTTGGATCAAAATCTGCTGTCGTCCCTGTTCCATCTGGTGTTCCCCAAGGTGGTCACTTGTCTCCCCTGCTTTTTTCTTTATTTATAAATGGAATTACGAAGGCTGTTCCTAAGTGTAGATTCCTTATGTTCGCTGACGACCTGAAACTTTTCCGAAAAATCGAATCTGAAGCTGACTGTCACGCCCTTCAGAACGAGTTAGATTCCATTAGCTTATGGTTTAGCACTCTTGGCCTCCAATTTAATACTAATAAATGCAAAGCTATGTCCTTCACCAGGCGCCGGTTGGTATTCGATTATTCTTACACTATCAATGGTTCAGTGATTGATAGAGTTGCAAGCAATAGCGACTTGGGCGTTCTTTTCACTGCCGATCTGAACTTCCGCCCTCACATTGACTCCATCTGCTGCCGAGCCCTCAAATCGCTTGGCTTCGTAATGCGCACCATGAAGGAGTTCAAGCTGTCTGGATCTCTCAAGACTGTCTACTGCTCTTTAGTCCGAAGCATGCTAGAGTATGCGTCTGTGCTCTGGGACCCATTTGTGGTTATTGATTCTTGCCACTTAGAGCGTGTACAAAGGCGCTTTCTGTCGTCTGCAGCTTACATGCTAAAAATTGTCCATCCTCCTCACGACTATACTCCAGTATTGCGCGCACTTAGCCTTACATCTTTAGCAGATAGGCGCGTTAAAGCTAATCTGGCCTTTTTAAAAAAGTTAATCGATGGTTCCTTAAATGCCCCTTCACTGCTTATCCAAGTAAACTTTAAAGTTCCACATCGGGCCACAAGGTCTCGAGTTCCTTTTACTGTACCTCTCCACTTTACCAATTACGGTAAAAACAAACCAATTGACCGCATGATGCGGTTGGCTAACGAGGACCCCTCCTTTCTCAGTTTACCTTAATATTGTGTTATTTTTTGTACATTTATTGTATGTAATTTTACTTGTGTCCTAATTATTTTAGTTTATATTTACTGTGCCTGTTATTCTGCTGTATTTTTTGGCCATCGCCCTTGTATATGTTAGTTATCTTATTTTACTGAATTATTGTTATGTTCTATACTAAATAAGGAATTTTTTATTCCGTGAATTAATTAATAAATAATAAATAAATAAATAAATAATAATATCAAGTATTAATTACTAATGTACATCAGCATTATTGCAAAGTAAAGACTATTAAGATTATGATTCATATTCTAGAGGGGGACCATACCTACATTGGCTCCATAAATGATAATTATAATAATAATCATGATTTTAGATATTGGAATATTAATTATTATGAATCAAATCAAATAAAACAAATTTGTGTCAGTGAAATTTATATTTTGCAGAAATCAATTCTTAACAAAAGAAAGATAAAGCTTAAATTATTTATTACAATTTATTGATTTTAGTTTAATTTAAAAGTTCTACTAACTGTACATTTATCACATTTTAATTCTTAATACTAATTAGTATATTTTATTAATGATATGCTAATAAAAGTTAAATTGGTTATAAGATTTAAATATTACAGAAATTATACAGCAAAATATTCTTGTCAATGGCAAAACCGTAAATACCATATTATATTATTTTTATTTGATTCAAATTATTTTTGTATAAATTATTATATTGCTATATTTATAATATTGTTACAAAAATGTGTTTATTTTTTTTATTCAACTAAACAAAACTTACCTGCACTTCATTTATGTATTCAAAATTGTAATAAGCTGCAGCACTAGATGGTAGCCAAAGTGATCAAGTCCTCTAATTAAAAAATAAAAATGCTTTGTTCCTACCACTTCACATTATAAGTTGTGTAGTACAAATTGTAATATTGTATAATTGATGTTCGTGTAATAACTACTTTTTTTTTATATAATCAAACAAATAGTTTACTTACAGTTATTATCTATAGTCAAAAAACTTTATACTGTTATTACTTAATACTTATTATACTGAAATGTCTACAATAAAAAATGGTGTACATGTGTTTTTATTATTTTTGGATTGCTGTGAGAACAACTTATGCATCTAAGAACACTATTACATTTTCAATTATTAAACATTTCTTTATAAACAAACAATAATTTGTATCATTCATTAATTGATAAAAAACTAAAAACTTGAACGTTTCAATAAATACCTTTAAATAAGTAACACAAAAAGACCAAAAATATTTTGAAAATCATATCATTAATTTCAATGCTAGTATAAATATTTGGTAAAAGCTTCACTTTATACGTATCAGAAACTAACCTCAAGAGGGCTAAACGATGATGTCAGACAAGAACATCATTGTAAAACGTACTATTTGTTGCTAAAATAGCCGTGGGTAGACCTGCCTAAATAAGTTATTTTTTATTTTTTATGGGATTAGTTCTATTAACCCAATGGGTTATGGTAGCATCATTTTTGGACAGAAATATCATAGAGCCATTTGAATTACATTATGAAACTGACAAGTGCTGAACAAAAGAATTAAAGTTACAGCCAAAGCTGATCGAAAAAGATAATAACTAATGGTTTACCACAGTTGTTAGGTACAGTCACCGAAGTATAAAATTGTATTTTCAGAAACATTAACTTAATGTTTGTATAATATATTATTGCTACAATAATAAATCCCTCCATTAAGTGCTAGGTTAAAACGAATGTTCCAAATTAGGTCACAAATTAAAACCTATTCAAATTCTAAGAAAACATAAATCAAAAGAGAAACTAAACTATGTTGTTACAATGACAATTAAAAAAAAAAACTCCAAAACCTCTTGATCTGGAATGGTTGTACGTAAATGTTCTTCCTTCCACAACAACAAAAGAAATTAAATAGAATAGTGTTGTCGTGATGATTGATAATTTACAATATTGTTACTTAAATATTTCATACATATGTAATTCTCATGCATTATTTTAATTTTATATTTAATTATTGTAACCTATTAAACGAATATTATGCTTAACATATGTCAACCAAAAATGTTTAACTAATAATTTTTTGTCATTAGTGAAAAGTTGACATGTTAAATACCTACCTACCTAAGAGCTAATTTTTTTTAGGCGACTCATAAAGAAAAAACTATGACCTAAAGCTGCTGCTCCATTAAAAATGTCAGGTGGCACACCTGTTAATATACATATAGCAATACTTTCATTGTATTAGTATAATGCATTTAAAAACCTGTCGTTGAAATGAAAATCATTAATGATTTTTTTTATCGTATTAAATTACAATGAAAAATCTGAAAATGTATAGGTAACCCTACTTATTTTCATTATAGTGTAGGTATAGCTGGTAACTTAGTGTTACTGTGGTGGCAAGTGCCCCTCCTGCTCAACAAAATATATATTTTTTATATATACAGGGGGATATTTTAAGCATGCTCACCTCAATTTTATCCATTAATAGAACATTTATTCAAATTCTGATTTTTGGAATTTGTTAGTAGACCTAATGACCATAGTTACAAATTATACAATTTTATAAACGTACATATTATTTATTATTTAAAAGCCCCTGCCGTACTGAGATGCTGGATCCGCCCTTGGTGGCGTATAACATAAGGTCCAAGAACATCTTAAATATGGGTGAGTGGTATAAATAGAAGACAACTAGGTCGTTTTAACAATACTATGAGGTCATCTAAAATTATTTGAGCAACACCAATTTTTTTATGATACCCGCCACTGCCTAGTATTTTAATTGATTATTTTTTAGTCATTTGGGAATTGAGAATACCAATTACTATGTTTTTTTTTAAGATAATATATATATTATGTAAAACAAAGTATAAACATACATGAGTAGAGTTAATGTTTATTAACACCTTATACTCATACATCCATTTAAATCACTCATAGTACACAAAAAAAATCACAAAAATATTGAGCGATATTATAATAAAACAATAATTACCTATTTACAATTTTTTAGTACTTACATGTGTGCGACACAATTAACTAAACTTAAATATGATATCTTTTAAAAATAAATTAGTCTGGACAGTTTTATATTTTTTTCATTAGTAGCAATAATAAAGTAAAATATAAAATGTATATTAATGGTGTCGGTTCTTGTTACCGGTTCCTCAGTGTAATATATGTATTATCATTACAATAATTATTAACTCTGTATAACAATAATACATTACTACAATGATATGTTAAAAACAATTAGATAGGTACAAAAAAAATATATATTTTAAAATTAATTATATTATCGATTATGATCACATAACTATGATCTTGATTCAAACGATTATGACATAAATACAAAATATTATTATATTATTTATAGGTATACCTAGGTACTAGGTGTATTATAGAGCTAATAACAAAATATTATATTAGGTAGAAGTAGAAACAATAATATTATATATTATTTTCTCGCATAAATTATAATAATATTATTGTGATAATATTTTTTAGTTATTAATAGTAATATAAAGGTATGTATGTACGTCATAATATTATATTATTATAATAACAATCGGAGGTGTCGGTGATAACAATAATAACAGAAGGCTGACCTCTTATTATACCTATTATAATCATTACAGCAAAACCTCTCCAAACGGACAAGTCCAAACTGTGGACGTTTTTTCAAACTGAACCCTCTGAATAGCGGACAACTCAAAATGTCAGCGACCGATAGTAACCGGTATTTAGAGGTTTCACTGCATGGTTATCACATCAGTTCCTGCCGTTCCTGACCTCGATCACCACTCCGCCACCGCCGCCGCCAATGCCGTTGTATCCGTTGATAGCGTCGCCGCCGTTGTACCGGCTCTTGGTCACGGTCTTGGTCTCGGTCGACTCGATGGTCTCCACTCGGCCGTCCCTGGGCACCTTTTTCTTGGTGAAGTTCTGTACCGTGTTGGTGACGCTTGGACGGTACGGGTCGTCCGACTTGGACGTGATCCGCACCGTTTCGGTGTAATCATCCTTGCTGCCACGACGCGTCACGCTCCGGTTGGTCACCTCGCCGCTTCCGTGTCTGATGGTCGGCGACGACGAGTGACCGCTGCTCGAATACGGCCTGTCCATTTTGACGGGAGAATACCGTCGGCCGGCGGTGGTCGCGTCCTCCTGGTGGCTGAGCGTCTTGTACAGCTCGGGCGCGTGGTCCAGCAGGCCTTTCATGAAGATCTTCTTCTTCGGATCGTCCCGCCGGTACGCAGTGCCAGTGCCGCCGCCGCCGCCATTGCTCAACTCTCCCGGGCTGGCCCAGCTGCCGGACAGCGATCTGTACCCGTCGTCGGCGCCCACCGACAAGTCCTTGGTGCTCCTGCTCAACATGCTCACGATGTTCGGGCTCTTTAGCGGCGGCGGAGACTCTTCCAGCCGGTGCAAAGTGCTCACCGACCGGCGCGTCTGGTGTCCAGGGTCCGGCTGCACGTTGAAGCTCTGGCTCCTGAGTAACGACGGTTTCGAGAACGTCCGCTGCGGTTTCGTCGGCCCGTTGGCGAACGACACGTTGATCATGCTTCCGGAGTTGGCGGCCGACCGGTTCGTAACGCCGCCGTAATCGTTCTCCCGGGACGCGTGCACCTGTCGTGGTAACGATACCGATTTAGTAATGCTCGTGATTTCGTGACAACGTCTGTTACAAGTTATAACTGATAGCCTTTTATAGGTATAATATCAAAAAAACATAGCGTAAATATTACTTTATAATACATTATTACTGTAATCATCAGTATAGTGGTATAGGTACCAGTACCACTTATAGATAATATACTAATATAAGTACCGGTATCCTATCTTAGGGGCGTCATTTGGGGGGGGGGCAGACTTTGGAAAATATCCCACTCTAAGAAATTTTAAAAAGTCAGCAATTCTGTAAATTTGTGTTTACTATTTTGTATAAATTATACTTATAAATCAGATAATATTCTCTTTTAGATAAATTCACGGTTTATTAAAATGTCGGAAAACTGGCTCCTCGGTTTATCGGTTTATGACGATCGTTATTACGTGAAATACGTCTTCTGTGGAATATTTAGAGAAATTCTAAAAATAGATATACATGGATTTACAATAAATTGTTAGTGTTGATAACATCAAAGATGGGACATTGATAGCCGACTACCATCATGACATCTTATCACTAATCAGTATTACTATAGTAAATAGTTAAATAAAATAAATCCAAATAGCTTAATGTTATTTGAGATTAATAAGTTAATTGAAGTGCTGTATAGCATTCAATATACAAGTAATTAAATTATAAATATTTATTTATTTTTATTAGATTTATATTATTATTCGTTATTAAACTTATTGATAAGTAACTTATCGGATAAGTAAACGGACTAATGTTTTACCGTTTTTAATGTTATTGTTTAATTGGGTAAATTGAAACATTTCATGTTCTTTATTTATCATCATGTTTATCATTATTCATTACTAATTTTGATCCCATACATGATCCCAGAGGTACATGTTTTGTTTCGAAAAATAGTCTATCGTCCATAAATATTAAATTTATATAGGTACCTAACCATATTTTTTTAAACATAACGAAGTCAGAAAATTTAATCAGTTTCAGTTGCCCCACTCTTCCAAAAGCTGAAATGACGCCGCTGTCGTACCTCTAAAAGTTATCAAAATTGTTAATAACAATAATAACTAATAAAACAAGTTGTAAGTATTTGATACCTATAATATTATAATTATTAAAACGATGTTAATAGTTTACGAATAATGTAATAATTCACAGACTTGAACACAATGGTTTAGTAAAAGTCACAATGGAAATAATGATCAAGAAATCTTAAACCCGTTGTTTTTCATTCATAAAAACTAGATAAATTAAATCAAAAACTATTATCGTTGTAGACCTAATATAGCTACGCGTGTCCGAAACTCCAGCGACACAATAGTTCATGTGACAAAAATCAGAGCCAGAAAGTAGGCACTATGGGTTTAATAATATTGTACTGAATATCAGCCCAAAATCGACTTCCAATTATGAACACAAACCACCATTAAATAGATAAAACACAAATCGTAATAACTGATGGCACAGTTCAAATGTACAAATGATTTTAATAAACTTTGTTTACCTGCTTTTTTATTTTGCTTTCCGTTCGGAGTTTTCTCGGCAGCGTTTGTGCTCTATCCGACACGTTACTGTTGTTGTCGTCAGCTAACAGACGTCCTGTAGATTTACTAAACCGACCCAATGTAGTACTGGTCGTGTTCACTGGAATGGTCCTGCAACATTTATTATTTAGTCCACATGACTATAAAATACGTACAAGACTAATTACTATAAATATTAATATCATCATAATAATATATAACAGTTTGCCATTGATGTAATTTTGGTTTGCGTTTTATATGCGATAATTTTAATTTTTAATAGTATATTGACCACGCACGACGTAATTTCACAACTAAAATGTATTGATGAAATGTGGTAGGTACCAATACATGATATTATACCTGGTAATACAAATAATTTACTTAATAGGTGGGTACTTGCGGTCATTCATAGTATTATGTACAAGTAGTAGGGACCTACAACTGATTTTTTTTTTTTAAATCTAATATTCTAGTATAAAATGTGTTTTGATAATAAATTGCGCTGTTCAGTCAAGTTATTATGACATTATCGTAGGAAATGAGAGGTATAGTAGTATATTTCCTGATTTGGATTTTTAACGTGGGCGTTTTCTGCGTATGCTGTTGTGGAAATATACATAGTGAAAAACAAACGTAAACAAGTCAAAACTAGACGATGTATGTCATCAGGTAGGTTTAGGTCTGAAACAGGACGTAGGTGTGTTACAACGCAGTGTTTCAAATTAATTGCATTTTTTTCCTCGTGAATAATTGGTCCCTACGTAAATGAAGTGCCGTGCCTCGACCTTGAAAGCACCGAAAACGGAGTATCAACTAGCCATAGTGCGTAATAGTGTCGCACAAAGTTTATTTCGAAATTATCTGAACGACTAAACTGCGTGTGTTACTATGATACTACCATGGTGGTCACTGTATACTTGGAATGTGCCTATACATTACAACAATTAAAATACTTGGCCATTGCCGATTTTGAATGATTATAATATAGGTAGTATCCAAATCCAAGGTCGGTTTTAATAATATAGCCTAAGGATATTCGTCTAATGATTAGATTGTCTAATACGCGTAATCCAATATAATCCTATAGTCATGAATAATATTTTATTATAATTTGTTAATTGTTAAAACATTTCTATGAGACCTACCTACGAGTGTAGGATATATAAATATTATTGACGTAGACAATGTCAAACTAGAAACTTACACTGGGAAAATTCATTTTGGTACCTATATGTGCGTAAAATAATAATACATTCCGATTGGCGGGGATCCTATAGGTTAGGGGTGATATTATAAATTATAATGCATTAACTTTACTTATATTATTATTTGTACAGAAATACAAAGTGGGGAATTATATAAATAATTATTATTAAAAATCAACAATTTGTCAGTTAATTTAACAAAAAATTACAAACCTACTTGTACGAGAGATTATACAAAACGTTCGTAGAGACGTAGAGTATCTTGCACGATAAAAAAAAAACAAAGCGTACACCTAAACCGTGTACAGCAATCGCCAATATTTTAACTAAAATATATTCTTAATTGGCATTAGGTCAGATAATATACATAAATGTTAACCGGAAATAAATGATGTATTTGTTTGGATTGCACTAAACCTCGAATTTTCTGAGATGGTACTTCATATTCTTTTTATTTCAATAGAATAAATGCAATATTAATAAAATATACTATAAATCTAAATATTATTTCTAATTGAGTGGATTTTCGTCTGCACAATATTATAGATATTTAGTTGGATGCGTTGCGGGTAATTAGGTGTGGCATAAACCCGCAGAAATCACTAAGATTGAGTGAGTGTCCATATTTCAAAGCTTCCGCAAATTTCAGTGAAATCGTCTGCAGCCTACGCAAATCTATAAATATTCTGTGGCGTGTCTCCATCACACGGGGAAATTGCAGCCTGCAGTTCACTTTCATTCGCACACGCAAATAATAATAATAACACAACGACAGCAGACACGAGACACGCCTCGTGCGAAATCGGCTTGTAGCAATTAATATATTATGTACTTTATTTTTAAAAATAAAAACAGGTTTCGCCTTTTTAAGATATTAGCACACGGCACTGACGATCAAGTCCCGTGTGCGTTTATCAATTTTCGCCAGCCTCATTGTGGATACAAAAAAAAAAAAAAACAGGCTAATAATCATGTTGGCGTTTTAATATTTATAGGAGTGTTCCATTCTATGCTAATAATGTTATACACGGTTGATTGTTACGATACGACATGTATAGCGTAAGGCCGTAGTTTTTTGCCATATTGTGGTGCTGAATCGTATAAACAACAATAGAAATGATCGCAGATTATTATTATTATTATTATTGTCACTGCAGCAAAACAATATTGATCGAAAATTGTAAATCGATATGCAACAAAAGTTAACTTGAGTTGTGACAAGTATGACTCGTAGGTATTATAATGATATTATATTATAACGCGCACAAATATGTTTTGGTAAACGCGAAGTAATAAGTATATTGTATTGTTTTTATCTTTATTTTATTGTGAATTAAGATAAAAAAAAAATAATTTGAGCCAATTAATACTATTTTTATATGACACAAATAATTTAGTGTCACCAGGTCCAATATAAATTAGGATATTGTATTAAAAATATCATTAGGAGCGGTTTTAGTAAAATAATATTATATTTTATAATAATAATTGAATATGTACATTTTACATTTTTATATAATTAGTAATATGACATAATCTATTTGGTAAGTACCTGAATTTCATCAAAATAAAAATATAGCTGATATACTTATCACTTATCAGAGTTAAATATTATAAAATATTTTATAAAGTATTATAAAATTGTAAGTTTTAAATAAATCACAATAAATATGTAGTTACTCGGGTCCTTTAATTATTTGTGTTACAACAGTTTTACTATAGATAATAATTTAATAATGTGAGATCAAATAATTAGTATTTTACAAATTAAATAGGTAACTAAAACGAAGAGAAAAAATTTGATTGATATTTACTTTGAGTAACACTTTGATATGCTTAGTACACTCGTAGTTCTAATTCGACTAGGCTATAAAAAAAAATAGACCTTCAAAAATCATCGACCGAATTTAATTGCCAATAATCAATGTTAAATTTAGTCTCGTGAATTAGAGTTGGATTACCGTAATAATATAACGATGAAAAAAAGGTTGGCCAAAAACCTTTAAAACTACGTTAGCGAGTTAGGGCGGTGAAGAGGACGGGCCTGCCGTGGCTGGGCGGCCACATCAAAAGGCTAAAAACCTATACACTGCAGGATCCGCACTATAACCAGCAACCCAGGTAAATACTAAAGGATATAACGTGTGGCAGGGACTTTAATATTACCTCTGGACGTAATGAGTGTGGTGATGGTGTTGCGGTGAGTCGTAAGTGCCGTTCTTCTTGTGCGGTCTGCGTTTGCCGCCGTCGTATTCTCTTTCACGGCCGTAAATGCTGCCACCGAACGGGTCTTCGCCCAAATAGTATCTGTGCACGCCGTTGCCGGTCCTGCCGCCGCCGTTCATCACCGGCGATTGCCCTCTGGCGTCCTGACCACGGTGATCGTTGTACCGATGAATGTCGTCGTCGTTGTCGTCTTCGTCTTCGCCGTAGTCGTCGTCTCGCGCCTTGTTACGGTTGTTGTCAGCCGTCCGTCCAGCTCGGTGTCTGTCCAACGTCTGCGTGCTGCCAAACAACCGCTGATGACGGTCGGCGGCTGGCCTGACGCCGCCGTCGTAACTCCTGTAGGTGTTCTCGCCGTCGCCGCCGCCGTAACCGTAGTCGCCGTCGTCGCCGCTGTCGGCGTGTCGTCGCTCGGCCGATTCCGGTTTCTTCCGGTTTTTCTTCCGATCAGCGTCCGACTTATTGCCGTGCCCGCCCGTGAACTTGCCCACCAGCCGCCGGAACGACTCGCCAAACGATTTCTTCCGCTCCTGTTTGCCGTTGCCTCCGTTGTCGGGCGCCGGTCGCGCGTCCGCCGCAAACCTCGTCTTTTGGTACACCTTTTTCGAACGCCCGCCCGCAGTCGACGAACCGTTGCTGGCCCGCCGTTCGGGTTCCGGAGAATAGTCTGGTTTTGGTTCAGGCGCCACTGCGGCCGTCGGTTTGTTATTGCGGTGGCCGTCCGCCGATCGCCGCCGGCGGTGGTCCCACGACCGGTACGAGTCTGACGGCGCCGGCGAATCGGTTGCGTCGTGACGTCTGTCGGTAGCTACAGTCTGCAGGATTACGAAAAACATAATATTATGATCATCGTTTTAATAATAATAATAGAAATTAACCCGCCGTTCAACGCAATAATCGTCATAGTCATTACTATTACTACTACTATTATTATTATTATCATTACATCCTTTTTATTATTATAATTATATGTATTAAGAACAAGAAGATTTTTTTTCTTGTCCACAAAGTTTGTCCCCTCCCTAGCTATACCATTGCAGAATAATCGTCTTGTCGCATCATAACAGTGCTGCTGAAGGTGTACAATTAAATAACCGTAATAGTAGTTAGAGGCACTAGCTGTTTTGATGAACACGGCGTAATTTCATATGGACAATTTTTATGTATATTTTTCTAAGCAAAATGCACGTTTTTAATTTAGGTGGACCCGTACAAAACGGTTTTAAAGCATATTATAATCTTCATGGAAATTTGATACGAGTGCTGTATTAAATAGTAACATCATTCATCACACATTCACACTGCATTTAATACCTATATATACAGGCTACAGCGCGTTAAAAAATTACCCACTGTAATTAATTTATAGTGATAATAAAATATAGTTATAGTATCTAATTTACATAAAATATTTCATTAATAATGTTAATTAGATGTTATAATTTACAATGTACATTCAACTATTTATTTATACAATTAGTTAGATTTAAAATATATTATATAAGAAAACAAATATCTTATGCAGATTTTATAAATTGTTCAACTTATTTATTTTGTTTTTGTTCCTGCTTTATCACTAGAATAATTACTATAAAATATAGTACCTAAATAAAAAATTTTAATTTCAATCTCGATCTCTATCTTATAAATAGGTAAATAGGTACCTATCGAATGAATGGTATTACGACACATTTTTATAAACCTGTTTACTTATTAATTTAAATTATTATAGCTGTTATACGTTATACAATTTATATATTTTTAATAAATTATCTTATTTCATTATCTGGTTCGAACGTAGATACAACATTTAAACTAAATATTATATTCTATTAGTTAAATTGACAATTAAAATAGACAATGTGACAAATAGTTGGGTTAATTTAATTACAGTGCTGTATATTATACTTTTAAATGCATGGATTTAGTAACACCTTAACTTAAAATATTTATAAGAATTAAGAAACAATAAGACATGATTTATCAATTGATGTATTAAATATCGTATTATCGAAATACATATCGAATATAAATATAAAAAAAAAATGTATCTCTTGTTTGACTTTTTCAATATAGTTTGTAGTGTTCTAAATGTGAAATTATAATTACATTTTGCAGTGATGATTAATTAATCTTATTATAATATTATCAAGGGAAATTCAAGTAAATAAAAAAATAATGTAATAAGTATACCTATCTTGCTTGTTATAAAAATAAATAATTTTTTAGTATTAACTGTTGAAACTTATTGCAATAATTAAGTTTAAATAAAAAAAAAGTATACTTATATAGTTATACAATACACATAATACTATACATCACATTATACAAATAATTCCGTATTTATTAAAAATCTGAATTTAATTGTTTTTTATTTTTAAAAAAAACGTCTTGTTAAAATGTTATCTATACAGACCTCAACAGATTTTTTGAACATACCAAGTATCTATAGTACCTAATGATATAATAATTGGTGTTATGTTTTACAGTTATTAATATAAGTAGTTAATAATATATAATGCATAGTATTTATATCTACTTAAATATGATTTTACTTTAAATTTCTCATAAAAATTTGAAATTATCAACATAAAGTTTATTGATATTATAATGGTAAATCATAGGCAGGTATAAATTTAGCCTTAGCGTATGAGTTTATAGGTACTACTGGTACTAAGGATATTTGATATTTTAGGGTGAAATTCATGTTTTAGTTTTTTTTTTAGCTTAGATGTTTATCTAAAACATCTTCACGTTTATTATTGGCTTCTATATCGGATTTCGATTGTTGAATGCATTCTTGAAATATTTGTACCTTACATTTAGGGTTGACAATGATAAAGTGGCTATCAATACATTTAATTGAGCACTTGGTATTCTTCCGATGCTTAGGTATATAAATATCAACTGGAGTTTTAGACTTCGTCTTAATGGTATTCATTATTTTCATATGTACAATATACATTATACATAGTAGTTTAATAATACATACTACATTGACATTATATTATTCATTGATAGTTAATATAAATACTAAAGAACTAATGATTTAGTGTTTGCGTGTATTGCCTACTACATCTCCATCTAAGGCACATATGTCACTTTTTTTTACACATTAAAAAATATTTTGTAAGCTACTTCTTTGTCGTATTTAAATAAAATATAATATTAATAAGTTTAAGTACTTAAATTGAAAATGATGAACGAAAAAATTGAGAAAGATTAACGGATATCTCACCTGAACATATCCGTTGTGAAGCGATTGGTTAAAACCATTTATCGCGTTCCGTCCAGACAATTTATCTTTTGTCATTTCGTATCCTTGGACCCTTTGTTGGACTGAATTGAATAATGGAGATGACTCTAATTCATTAACAGTGTTTTTAATAATTTCAGTTTTTTGTTCTCTTTTTCTTCTGATCGGGGGTCTGATAGGGGCTGAGTCGTTATTTTTCCATTCGGACACTCCTTTGAAGTATCCATTGGCTGGAGTTTCTGTTGATTTCATAGTCACGTTTATGAAACTATTGGAAGTAGTCTTTTGATGACCTCGATCATCCTCTTCTTCTTCTTCTGATAAGTTTCCAGTAGACGACCTGGTCGATTCGCTACCAAAATGATGTTCTAGCCATTTAGCTGTTTCCACCTATAGAACAAAATTAGTTATTAAACAATTATAATCATTAAAAGTAAATATATTATCGATATTGTCCACTACTAACTTTTCTAGTACGTTCTTCTTCATCGAAGTCCGCGAGAGTTTTTCCGGCAACCGGATGCTGTTGTCTATCACGCATCTTGCGTATTCTTTCCGATAAGCTCTCCCAGCCTACCAACTCTCCCGCATTTGTCATCATCTGCAGTTGATTGATGTCACCAAGTCGATCTCCTTCTTCGTTGGTCGCTTCGTAACGCATTTGCTCTCCAATTTTCTCACCATCTGCTAGATACTCAACTAACTCCTGATCCTTGGTCTTGGCGTATCGATGTGAACTTTCGCGCAACGACTCTTGTAGTGCTGAAGGTGGTAACGGAACACTGTCTGGTTCATCGACCCCGTTTACCTACAAAAAGACCATCAATTATCATAATACAAATCGCAGTTATAACATTGTTTGAAAAACGTAAGATTATTATTGATTCATACATTCGAAAAATGAAACTCTAATATAGATATTAAATTTATTATTTGAAAAAGTCCAAAATATAGAACTATTTTCTTAAAACACGTGCCAATAGTGAATATAGAAACAGGATCTATTAAATTTAATTATATATTATATTTATTTAGGAAAGTAAAATACATATCGTACTGTGTTCAATTATCTGTTGATTTATAAAAGAATAAAATATTTATAATAATGTATAAAAGTAGTCAAAACTTTAAATGTATTATTACCTACACTTTTGAATGCGTACAATTTATTTTCAGTCATTTAAACTAGAAATACGTTACCTCTTCATGCTCGGTGGTTTTTGATGTTTCTGTAACGATTTTACCGTCTTTTTGAACTTCTCTCGTGTGCCTAGTATCTTCTGTGTCTGTCACTTTTTTATTTTTGGTACTCTGATGCACTACCCTGGGTCCAGTACTGTTTACATGAACCAACTTGTGATTTGCTTCTTCAAGAGCTTCTCGGATGTCTCGTTTGCTCTGTATTGCTTCTTGGTAGGCCTATATAAACAAACAACAAAAAGTAAATGTAGATATTTTTTAAATCATAAAATTAATTTTTCCAAATGTTTAAAAATATAATTTATGAAAAGGGCAACTATAAATTATTAAACCAAAATTTAAAAATTGTATAATGCATAATACTTTATGCTCTTGGCCATTTAATACTTAAAAATATTTTTATAGTGGTAAATATGTAATTTCTTGCGTAAAATAAACATAAACTCCTATTAGTTGCATTAACATGTTCATAATACATCATATTTGTGAATACTAAATATGCAAAAAACACTGAAAACTATTCAATTTCTTTGCCCAGTTCAGTATTTGGAATTGATAAATATAAATAAACTAATTAAAATAACCTTTCAAGTATAATTTGAGTCTAAATATATATGTATATATATGTATTATAAAGTATAATTATATATAAATACGCATAATAAAATATTAATTTCATATAAATCATTATGTCAAAAATATAATTGACGATCCTTAAACTAGGTTACTCAGCTCAACTGTGTAGTCTAATTATGTAAACACACATGATACATTCTACAATATATATTTATATACCTACATATAGATGGTAGGTAATAGGTATACACGTGTACTTATATCGTATGATGTGTGTAGAAGACATGTACAACCATTTTCTTGTTAACTGTTTGTTTATGACTCTGGAATATTTATGACTATGAAGGTCACTGCCACGTCATATGAAGGACGTTTAAATGAACAATAAAGTACATCATACAGAATTCCAATAAACCCCATTAAAATAATAATATTAATACTATTGAGGTTGGATTGCGCTTTGGATAGGCATGTGTGGTAGATCAAGGAAGCACGTCTTCCACTCGTATTAATCAATGCCAGACATATTTCTCAGTTGCAGTGCACAATGGACTGTAGAAAAATTAATGATGTTAATAAAATCCATCGGCTCGGGGGTAGATTGACAGTATAGTAGTTATATAAAAGCGAGATAGCCAACACATAATATTATATTATATACTATACATTAATAAATTCTACGGTGTTTAAAAATATTATTACGATTCGGTATATGATCGGTATGTAATGGGTGCTATATATGTATATGTAAAGTTGATATTTAAATACAATTATAATTTTCCGTTTTATTGTTATTCAATTAATAGTCTGAATAAATTCACGTGGGGTTTGTGTCGAAGAGCGAGTGCGACTTATAACCCAACATTCTCATAATAGGTATATATAGGTAGCATATAGCTGGTATATAGGTATATAGGTAAATGTAGCAGTCGATTGATATATATATATATATACATGATATAGTATTCTAGTTCGTTGATCTACGTAAGCCACATCGAATATGTCTGTGCAGCTGGAATATTATCGTTGAAACCCCGACACTTTCACTACGCAGGCGGATTCCTTCGAATCAATCATGGCCACGTGATTGACCTTTACCGTCTTAGACGGTTTGGTAAAATAGTTTACTGCATCGTCGTTTACGACCAAAACGTGATCACAAATTCCAATACACAACAACATAACAATATTATATTGTTATATATCATATACAAATGCGTTTATCGGTTGCTTGTATATTGCCTCGACTCTATGATATTATACGAATGTACTAATACGATAGTAAAATGTGTCCGTGTCGAATTCCACGGCGACTGAAATGTATCGCGTACCAACCTGTATACATGAAAACGGTGCAAAATGTAATCTTTAACGGCGTATTTTCCATTGTCACGACAGCCATAGGCGTCAATGCGTCATATAATATTATATACGTAGAGGCGGAGACACACACAATGCCATAATGACAGACGACTGGAACACATCACCGTTAAGGTGTCATCCTATTAGGACACGCGCTATTATAAAGTACCTATGTGTTTTTGAAAGGCACTTAACACAGAAATTTAGTTATTATAGTTTCATTTTATTTAAATTATACTTCTGCAGCTAACTGTGTTGATTTACCATTAATAAATAATACGTATTTTTACCGTCAAGCTTAACGCGCGTTATGGGTTTATTTACATATAATGTATTTTCCTTAAAATACGCTTTTATATTTTACCATGAGACACATTATGAACTGCGTTCTTTTCGCCTCATGTACTTATTAGTTCTTTTTGTGAACAGATATATTTGTCATTGGGATTCAAATTTAATACCTATACGGCTATACGATCTACAAATCAATACAATAAACAATACACGTGAATTGATGATTTAGAAATTATATTTGTTTATATTTTTCTCTATTTCATGTACATGTTAAGTATATGTTAGGCGCCAATATTTTTTTTTTCATGTTATGATCGATACGTTGATATCGTGTAGTGAAATATTGTGAATATATATATTACAAATGTTATGTGTGTCCAAAACTACAAATGATAATGGTTACTTTCAACTTAATTATGTATGTATATATTGTGCTGTAGCATATATGTATAGGTAGTTATAGGTATCTCATATTAAGAAACCAGTGAAAACTGTTTGGCAAAGGGACCTCTAACAAATAACAATGGTTTATGTATATACGACCAAACGTTAATCGTTTTCGGAATACGTGCTGTGGTCAGCACTAGGCACCTACTTTCAGTCAGTATGTAGTTATAAAAACTCCGTACGTTTTTGAGGATGTAACATCTTTTACGAAAACTTATATCAATTTAATTATTATTATATCAGTTGAAAAATGTTTGGTTTCGCCAAGTGTTTCTACATACTTTCAAAACCTTATGGCTGCAATGTTTGCAGAGAAAGAAACACTGCAGACAACTAACTATACGTTATTTATATATTATAGATACGATATTTTATATTATCGAAAAACAGACAACCTTGGTAACGTTTTTCATCTCGCGTGTATATTCGTGTCCTCGGGGTCCGAATTCCTTCTTAAGTCCGGTCACGGAATATGGATATTCTATTCGTGGTTTTATCTTTGGTCATATTAACCGATATCAAAGGATATTTATCATAGTATAGTATACACATCGAAAAAAAAGATTATATTATATTTAATTTTATTCGTGTAGGTATGCCGTTGTATATATTCGTGAGGCGTTTCCAAAATTCTCCTCGGTACTTTCATAAAAACTTTGTACATTATTTAACCTACCGAAAAATCTGAAATTACTGTGTGATGGTATATTATATTATCTTGGCACTATACAAAATAAGTATATATAGAATATAGATATCGAATATTTAGATATAGATAGATTATATGATTTTATAAACGTATTAGGTACATATTTATATATAGTAGCGTATACTACATTTAGTATACTAAGTATTAGTATATAAACATTATAAACCGACATTGGACCTAATACAACATAAATAGTGATTCCGTTTCGGTTATCACTGGCTGAAGAGCAATAAAAATTAAATTCCTAAGGAACAAAATCATTTATTGTCTGTACATAATATATTATATATACCATATAGGTAAAATACTAAAATAGGTGTTTTTCGAATATATAGGTATATATTATTACAGTCATTAGTCACATATAAATATGTTTTTTTTATCGTGTCATCATTATTATTTTAAACATAATTCAATTAGAAATTGAAACAATTTTAAATATAATAGTTATGCGTACTTATAACATAATAATAATTATTTATATTTATTTAGTTTTGGTCATTTAAAATTAAATACAATTTTGGACTGAAATAAAATCCATTTTCTACTTATGTATATTCAAAGTCTCTGTATGACCATATTACTCTATATTTTTGATGAGATAATATGAACGTAATTTTATGGGTACTCAGTCGCAGTAATATATTGACTATATATTACATAGTGCGAGATACATAATAATAATAATAATAATAATAGATGAACAAATATATTATACATCAACAGTGTGAAAAACCAACCTATCGACACAGACTCGACACAATGTTATACACACCGGTCAGAATCCATTATTTATAAATCCCAGACAACTAGAAGTCGTTGGACCCGTTGGTGTTGTAGAGACTTGAACGCACGCCTACGCGGTGGCGAAATTGTATATACGTGAGGACTGAGGAATAATGGCTATACCACGGTCCAGGATAGGTTAGCTGAATTTTTTCAAGAGAAATACTGTCTCAGAAAGTATACACGCGTATACAATTTATGCTGTATATATTATAATAGTACAAAAGTACAACGCGAGTTCCTATTATTTTTCTATTTCTATTACATATTTTTAAAACCGAAGAAGGTTTTTGACGTTTTATTGTTGTCCTTGTTTTTGTTGTTTTCAGCGTGTCATCTGAAGAATTTTTTCTATTTATGAGTATACATAATTTTGAGGGTTATTAAATAATTATATTTACGCGCATTTGTTTGAACGACAATCAATCATCATGCTTAAGTACCTGCCTACAAGTGGGAGCAACAGAACAATATATTATATACATTTATAACATACCTACATAGTACCTAAACAATTTGTATTATGTATAAGTAGGCACTATAAGCAGTGTTTAAAAAAGTATGTTAATTGAATCGATAATTAAAAACCTTTCTTTTTGTATTCAAATAGTTGTCGAGCTCACAATGCATTTATTTACTACTTTAGGCAAATATAATAATTAATATAATATTAACAATTAACATGACTCTATATAACGCGTGTATTATTATTTGACGTAATCATTCGCCAAGTACAATAATGTGTATATACAATACATGAACCGCGGGCAAGCGGTTCATATAATATTGTCATCAAAATGTCGACATCTAGCCCCTCCTCTCAAAAAATGGATTTCACATCGGCCACGCTACCTTTACAATATATACCTACTTAATATATTGTATTTATATTTATAACTGCTGGTAACAGGCGCGTCGTGAAACTTTAAGTCGTTTTTATTTAAAATTTTTTTCATTTTTGCCCATCAACGGTGGAATATTATTATACTATGATATTTATTAAATCAAGAACAAGTTCGGAAACGCCACACTTACCGTTATCTGT